GAAAATATTTACAAGACATGTATCAATACAAGACTTTTATCCAGAATGTATGAAGAGCCCCTACAGCTCAATACTAAGAAGACAATTAACCCAATTCAAATGGGCAACAGACCTGAATAGACACTTTTCCAAAGAAAACACGTGTAAGGCCAGCAAGCATGTGAAAAGACTCACCATCATGAGTCACCAGGGAGATCTAATCAGAACCACAGTGAGAAACATTTACATTTATTAGAACACTCACCCCACATAGAAAACAATCTAGAACACACAATTTCCACTAGTCTATATAGAACATTCACCAAGAAAAACCGTATTATGGACCAGAAAACAAGTCTCAGTGTGTGTTCTCTGACCAGACTGAAATTACAGCAAAAATTGATGGCAGAAATATATCCGGAAAATATCCAAATATTTGAAAGTTAAATAACAGACTCTCACATAACCAATAAATCAAAGAAGAAATCATGAGGGAAATTAGAATGGAAAAATACGTCTAACTGAATGAAAATAAAAACAGCCTATCAAAATTTGCAGGATCTATAGCAGTGCTTAGTGGAAACTTTATAAAAATATTAAAATCTTGATTCCTACTTCAGAAGACCTATGGACCTGCCCCCTTCCATTCTCGTCAGCAGTACCACACATGGACAAAAACCTGAGAGTGACTCGTGGCCCCCCCGCCTCCTCATTCCATGTCCGTCACCTGGAGGCTCTCGCCCGGCACATGGGTGATCCCGTAACGTACTGGTTGGTCACTTGGTTCCCCACGTAGCAGCCAGGTGATCCTTTCTGAAAAGGAAATTGAATTGTGTTACTCTTCTGATCTAATCTCTCCAATGGCTTCTCATCTCACTTAAAACAAGGCTGAAGCCTTCCTCAGGACCTCCTTGGTCCCCCAGGATCTGGCCGATCACCTCTCTGGCTTCCCCCTATCTGTCCTCCCCTCACTCACTCTGCTCCATGCCACATTTCCACCCCAGGGCCTTTGCATTTGCCATTCTCTGTCCCAGGAACATTCTTTCCTCAGATATTTGCCTGGCCTGCTTTCTCATTTCTTCTCAGACATCTTTTAGGGGAGGAATACCCTAAAATAACAACCTGTATTGACTAGTCATCCGTTGCTGCATAACGAATTACCCCAAAACTCAGCATTTAAACTACAATAACCATTCATTGTCCCTCACAGTTTCTGTGGTCAGGAATTCTCGAGCAGCTTGACAGGGTGGTTCTGGCTCAAGGTCTCCCGTGATGTGACAGTCAAGATGTTAGCCAGGACTGTGGTCATCTGAAGGCTGGGCTGAGGCTGGAGGGCCTCTGGAGTCTCAGAGTCGGTGCTGGCTGCGGGCAGGAGGCTCCTGACATGGGGTTACTCTCCACACTGGCATCTCCCAGGACTGGTGAATGTCCTCAGAGCATGGCAGTCGGCGGGCTTGCCCCAGAGAAGATGGCCCAAGACAGACAGTGCCAGATGGAAGCTGTCCTTTCTAAACCTCACCTCAGACATCACACACCATCACTTCTGCCACATTCCATTCAGTAGAAAATTCGCCAAGTCCAGTCCATATTCAAGGGGAGAGGCATTGGGCCCCCCTTGAAGGGATGCATATCAAAGAGATCACAGACATGTGAAAACCAGCACATGGCGCCATCACACTCTACCTCCTACTCTGATTTCTCTTCCTTTGGAGTATGTAGCGCTGCACTACATGGCCTAAGGTACTTGTCTAAGTCTCCCACTGCTGTACCCCTAGCACTTGGAGCGGCACCCGGAACATAGCAGGGGCTCAGCAAATGTCTGTTGAGTGAACTAAAGCTCAGTCTTGTCCACAGTGGGGTCCACAGTCATCCCTAGGGGACTTTGTGATGTTGGGAAGATGGCCTTAGGGGAAAGTGGGACTTGGCAAATCCGAGAGGGTGGGAGCAGGGACAGGAGGGACCTTGTGGTGCTGGAGGCAGGCAGTAGAACCAGGTGGATCAAGGTGTGCAAGGGGAAATCTGCAAGAGAGCAAGCTAGCATCATTGTTGTCTGAAGCATGGCTCTGTGAGAGTCCTCAGGCCTCCCCAGATCAGGGGATGGAGAGCCTGACTCCATTCAGAGTCCATGTCTGACAGCCAGCCCCATTTCCCCAGTCCTAATTTGGAGGCAGGCCTTCACAGCAGGAGAACGCCAGATGCAAGCGCATCCTCTGCACCCTAAGCTGGCCATGGGCAAGGCATCTGCAAAGCTTCTGCACTCTCCTCCCTTGCTGTCAGCTTCCTCCTCTCCAACTGGTTTCCTCTTGGCAGAATGTGTCCACAAGTGGCTCTTGAAGCCCCAGTTCACCTGGGGTTCACCTCCAGAGAGGATGTAGAAATGGGTTCTTGGCCCAGTTTCTGACCCAGCCAAAATCCCAGGGAAGAACCCTGAGTGGTCTGCTTGGGTTTTGTGACCACCCCTCGGCCAGTCTGCCAATTGACTGAGGCTTAGGAGGGCTGTGCCTGGGACTGACAGCCCCTTCTGGAGCATGGTTGAGGGGGGAGCAGCTCCCTCCCCAGGAGTACCTCCCCAGGGGGAGGCCTGGGGCAGACCCCGGCCTCCCTCTCCACCCAGGCCAGTGGCACCACCCCAGGCCCCTGAGGCCTCCCTACAGAATTTGGCTGAAGAGGATTCAGAGGGGTTCAGTCCAGGCAGGTTCATCTGTCTTATCAGGGCAAAGCAAGACCCAGGCCCTCTGTGGCTGCACCCCTCCCTCCTTGATGGGAGAAGCCCACAAAGTAAAATGGAGGGGAGAGCCCAGGAGGGGACTCAGTCATAGGAGGGGGCTGAAGTCTGGTGGGCGGTCACAGCTTCTGCCCCAGCCCTGAATGTTTGGAACCTGTGCCAGACACTCGAGACAAAAGCATGAGCACCGGCAGCCTGGGGGAGGTGGCGGTATGCTGCAAACTCACAGTCCACAGGGAAAAATAAGCACTGATTTGCAGGGTTTGATGATTTCCCTGGTGTAACTGCTTCCACCACAGCCAGTTTCAAGCTCCCAGCTGCGTGAAAACTAGCTCACGGATTTCTGAATATTTAGAAACTGCCTCTCCAGGGCTAGCAGGAGCTGTTCCAGCACCCAACTGGCAGGTGGGGGTAGATGGGAGGGGCCCAGCTGTCTGGCTGCAGTCCCCTGATGAATTCTTTCGTCCCTGAGGTGTTCTGGAGCTGTCTGGGCCACACCAGAGCTGGCAGCCTGCCCTCATGCACCCACACAGCCTGCAAGCTCTGACCTGCCACAGGCCACAGGCCACAGACCCTGTGGAGGTGGGGCTGGCTCTGGGCTCCCAAACACCCCCCAATATATCCTTCTGTGAGCCCACTGATGTTCCTTCCACTGTGGATTTCAATCCTGGAGCAGAGAGAAGGGTGGGCCTGCAGCAAGCTACCAGTAGGTTTAGCCCCCCAGCAATGATTCCCTCGCATTGAGAGAGAAGGGGTCGAGAAAGGGAGCATGCCAAGAGCCAAGCCCCTGCCTCTCAGAACCAGGGATATCCCTTGGTGTCTGTGTTTGGCTCTGGGGGGTGGGGCGGGAGGTCAGCCTAGTGGTGAGAACTGCAGGGAGACAGGGAGTGGGATCCGGAGGGGAAGGGAGGGGCTTCTCCCCTCTTTGCTGCTCAGAACATCACTTAGGTGTGGGGACGGCCCTGCTTTATCCCTACTGGGGGCTTTTGCAGTTGGGTTTGCAGAATCCTCAGTTGCTATTGGAAACAATGATGTCACTGGCAGGGGGCGGAGCTTCAGCCATCCTTTGAGTTAGGGAAGTGAAGCACTCTCCAGGGGTGTGGGGACAAAGAATTAGGATCCTGAGGGTGAGAGGGACAAGGGAGGCTCTGGAAAGGGGCAGGAGGGGTGGGGGCTGGGAGTGAATTAGGGGAGGAAGAGCAGGGGAAGAGTAGAAGCAGGGGTATTGGATGTCTACCCTGGCACACACCTCACCAGAGCAAGTGCTTTCTGATGTCTAACCTTGGTCCCATCCGCTACAAACACAACTCCCTCTGGCCTTGGCTTCTGCATAACTGATTTGGGTCCAGACCCCAGATGCCGCTGGAAGACCCAGCTCAACATGGGGGCAGCTGCTGTCACCCTTTCTATTCTTCTCAACCCTCTGGGGGGAGTCCAAGTCACATGGCCAGGCAGATGGGGTCTCTCCCCCATTTTTGAGCCTTTTGGAGAGGGGAGTCCCACTCTCTAACCCATGCCTAGAGGCATGGCTTAGGGCCTCTCCACACCCCTGGGTCTCCAGCCAGCAGAGTCAGGCCCCGAAATATCGTTGACTATGGGTGAGGACTCGTGCGCGCGCGCGCGTGCACACACACACGCACACACTGCCAGGACACATTTGGTCATGTTAAAGACACGCAAGGCTGCCGCAGGGACACGAACCCCTCTAACCTCTCTAAACTCATCTCCCTGCAGGTCACTGTCGCAGCGACCCCTCCAAACACACCCGCGCGTACACGCACACTCGCGCACAGCCTTCCCCCCACCCCTCGTGTGCTCTGATAAATGCTCGCACCAACGCAGGCGCACACTCCGGCGCGGGAGGCGCCGCTCCGTGTTGGGAAGCGGGGGCGGCGGGAGGGGCAGGAGACGCTGGCCCCACTCGCGGCTCCGTAGCTGCCGCGGTCGCCGCAGCGTCGGGACCAGGACCAGCGAAGCCCGCGGAGGAGCCGCGGCTGCGACGAGCTCTCGGCGGCGCCGGGCGCCTGGAGCAGCGCCGGGACCCGCTTCAGCACCGCGGACAGCGCCAGCCGCTCCAGCGGCCGTGGGACCCCCGCGTGCCCCGCACAGCGCCCGCCGGCCGAGGGCTCGGGTGCCCTCTTCCCTCCCGCAGACGTCCGGGGACTACGGCTCCGGGGGAAGACGTGGCGGCCCCAGCCCGCAGGATCGGGCGCGCGCAGGACGGCCGGGACACCCCGCTGGGGATGCGCCGAGGGCCCCGTATTCGCGCTGCCCAGAGCTAGGGCTCTGCCCGGAGCCCATGAGCACCATGCGCCTGCTGACACTCGCCCTGCTTTTCTCCTGCTCCTTTGCCCGCGCTGCCTGCGACCCCAAGATCGTCAACATCGGAGCTGTGCTGAGCACGAGGAAGCACGAGCAGATGTTTCGTGAGGCCGTGAACCAGGCCAACAAGCGGCATGGCTCCTGGAAGATCCAACTCAATGCCACCTCCGTCACCCACAAACCCAACGCCATCCAGATGGCCCTGTCGGTGTGCGAGGACCTCATCTCCAGCCAGGTGCCCACCACCCCCCACCAGGGCTCCCGCAGCGCAGCTCTTACCCCTCCCCCCACCACCTCCCCACCATCCTCCCTCCTCTACCCTCCATCCCTCCTACTGTCCCAGTTTCATCCCACCCTTTCCTAGCCCTCTTGAGAGAGGACCCCTAAGCGAGCTGGCTCATGTTGGAAAGGGCTGGTCTCGCTAGCAGCCAAACACCAGTTCCCCATCTTGCCGCATCTTGCTCCCCACCCCCCCCACTGATCACCTGCCACCATGGTCAGTCCTCACAAGGTTCCAGGGCTCCAGATCCTGACCCATGTGTGTGCAGATGTGTGGCAAGCATTTCATGGTTTGTTTCATCACTGTGTCAGTGAAGGGTGGGTATCCTGGGCTTATGGGCAGAAGTGCTCTCCCAGCCCCAAGCACACACTGTGCGCAGGTCTTTAAACAGGATGGGGCCTGGGGCCATCTTTGTCTCTGCCGCTAGACCTCCTTCCCTTCCTCCCTCCCCTTCCCCCATCCATGGGTTTGTCTGAGATGGGAAATGGCCCAGGTGTTGAAGCAGAGTGTTCTGGAGGGTGGGAGCAGGGACTGTGCATGTGGGAGGTGTCGGGGCACAGCGCAGGAGCCGCTGACTGCCAGCGCTGCGGGGGAAGACATGACTCCTAGGATTTTGCCCGTCAGAGCTGTCCGCCCCTGTGCCGTGCTGCCTGCTGAATTCCAATGAATCCACAGGATCACTGCAATGCAGCCCTTTATGTAAGAGTCGGGACCGACACTGGGCCAAACGATGCTCATCCTTGCTCACCTGCCAGACACAGCACATCTGTGGACATCGGTGGACAGGCACACTCACACATGCACATCTGTGTTTATGCACAGAGATGCCTAGACTTACATTAGCACACACTCATGCACACCAGCATTACACAATCGATTGCACATGCTCACTCACACACATCTGCCCAACACACATGCACACCCATGGACACACATGCTCATGGGCCACACAGTGCTTGGCACACCCAGGTGCACATGCAAACAGGGGCTCAATCATGCACACACATGCACATACACATAAGGACATGTTGGGGCATACATTTATACACATGCATATTCCAGCACACACTTGTGAACACCTGTATGATCAGACACTCACGCAGACACAGACTGGGCACTTTTGGGTGCAGACTGGAGGTGAGGGCCTGGGAAGGGATAGCCAGTCCAAACAGCTCCAACTGCAGAGGCTGGGGCTGAGCTTTGCTCAGAAATCTCCCCCTCCCCACCTCACAAGCCACCTCCATGCTCCCAGCCCCGAGCACGAGAGATAGGACTGGGTGAAGTCTTCGTGGCCAGCAGCTTAGATCACATGTCCCATCTGGGATGAGGGAGAGACGTGAAGAAGCGGAGTTAGAGAGTCCGGGTAGGGCCCTTTCTGGGGGCCCCTCCTCCCACTCACAGTTATGCCATCTGTGAGCATTGTTCCCTCAGAGAACAGCCAGTGCCAGGAGCAACAGTGACAGTGACAGCAGCAGCTGCCCCTCGCGGGGCACACCTTATGGGTGAGGGCTGTGCTAGCTTGGCAGCCATTGCCCCACGTGTGGGGCCGGAGCATGCCACCCCCCCACCCCATGAGCAGGAAGAGGTGTGCCCTGTGGCTCACAGACCGGGAGGCGGAGTTGGGACAGACACAGGCCCCTCTAATGGGAGGGTGGCAGGGAGGTGCCAAGCCATCTGCTCCCCACCACCACCCTTCCCCTGCCTTGGAGTACTGAGCCACCGGCTTCAGACCTGCCTGCAGGGGCCGTGGTCCGGGCAGGAAGGCTAGGCTGCCCACCCCTCCCCAGCACTCTCCTTTCTTGAGGATGTGGTCAGCGCTCAAAGTCAGGACTAAGTCTGGTTCAAACTAGGCTGAGCTCAGCTGGCCCCTGGAAGACACCTGCAGGACTGAGGGCGCCCGTGACTCCTTGCCTGGCTTCTCCCAACAAAGCTCCATCTGCAGCATTAGATGCAGACCTTTTGGAGCAGCTCACAGTTTCTGGAGCACTGGCCTCCGTGCCCAGGAGGAGGGACAGTGGGTGTGCTCGTCAGCATGATGCGGGACCAGCCACTCTCGCCAGCCCATGCTGGGGGCGATGTGTACCTCCTGGGACATCCCGAGAACAGTCTCTGCCTTCCCTTTCAGGGTCTCAGTACACATCCCAGGACAGTTCTTCCAGTGTGAGGGGTGAAGGGAGGCCCCAGGCAGGGAAAAGTGCGGGGAGGGGGTCTGTCATCTCCCTGTGTGTCCTGTCTGCCCCCTGGAGTCTTGCTCTGCTTCTGACTCACTCACCCCTTCAATTGTAGACTCTGAGGGTGGTTCTAGGGTCTTGTCCCCTTGCCCTGGGGTGTGTACCCCTTGGGCTGCATGTGTGCACAAATGGTGCCCCTGGATGTCCCCACCCCTGGCCTGCTGAGTTCAGCCTCCGCTGCTTCTGGGCAGCCAGCTCCAGTGCAGTGCCCATGCCACCCTCACCCCCCACTTGAGCTGACCCTGTCCCCTGTGTCCACAGGTCTACGCCATCCTAGTTAGCCACCCACCTACCCCCAACGACCACTTCACTCCCACCCCCGTCTCCTACACAGCCGGCTTCTACCGCATCCCCGTCCTGGGGCTGACCACCCGTATGTCCATCTATTCAGACAAGGTAAGCCTGACCACTCAGTGGGGACCCAGCTGGCTCTGTTCCTGTGTTCAGACCCAGTGGCTGAGTCCGGCAGCCCAGGGCCACTGGCAGCTACCCTGGGGTGAGGGAGGAGGGCAGAGGCACAGAGATGCTCAGACCATGGGCTCTGGGCTCAAGGAGCAGCAGGGTGAGACATGAGCTCATGCATTCATGCATGTTCACACACTCATACCCATACACAGAGCCTTAGACACACACAGACTCACTGACACACACGCACATACACACCGATACACATTCTCCTAGCAGGCAAACTCAGACTCACACAGATTCACAGATACAAATAAACCCATACATTCACACCAAGTTCACGTGCACACACAAACATATCCCCATGAACAAACACTCAGGTACTCTTACACACATTCACACATGCACACTCACACTATACACACTCTTACACTCACATTCACACACACCAACATGTTCACCCTCCCACACACTCATGCTCCATCACACACACACTCACAGGCACAATCGTGCACTTATACTCATGCCCACACACACACATACACTTACTCTGGCAAGCGACAGGCACCAATAACAAGCCCTCGGAAGCAGCAGAAGTTCCCGTGGGCCAGGAGAAGGGACAGACAGGTGGATTTTGGAGAGCTGGAGGGGGCGCTGCCAGGGGAGGAAAAGCCTGGAAGGGGTGCACCAGGCAGCCATGAGGTTGTGGGTCCCAGCCTTTCCCGCTGCAGGGCACAGGTGAAAAAGATGTCCGCATATGTGCAGGGTAATGGAGAAGGCAGCTCATGGCAGGAGAGGCTAGACTGGGGTCTACAGGTCCTGGGGCTGCAAGCACCAACACTCAGCAGCATATAGGACCCTTGTGGCTCCCGGGTGGGGAATGAGGGTCTGGCTGGAGCCATGCAATCCTGGAGCAGCAGCTGGAGGAGCCAAGAGGTCACGAGCTGGTATCCCAAAGAGGTGGGGAACTCGTTCTAGGCCACACAGCTCTCCCACAGCATCTGCCCATGATCCTGGGAGGACTCATCAGCTGGGGAAGCCAAGAACCACCAGGAGGCTGGGAGGGCCCCACAGCCTGCTCCACATCTTCCTCCAGACCTTGGGCTACCTGCAGACAGATCAGGAGGGGCCAGAGGAGGGGCCGTGTGCTGGGGGCTTCCCAGTCTCCCATCCCCTCCAGGTCCATCTTGCTGGGAGTCCACAGTTCTAGATAAAGCTGCCTAAGGCATGGAGGTCGTCCCAGCCAGGGCCAGGGGGATCTGGGGAGGTCAGGGATGGGTCTGTCCAGAGGCGAGGGGAAAGTGAGGCCAGTGCCAAAGTTTGTCCAGGAGGCCCCCAAGGGAGGAAGCCAGTTGGAGGCTGGAGCGGCAGCTCCTTCCTGAGGCTTTGGAAGCCCCAGCATATAGCTGAGGCACCCAGACTGTTCAGATGCACTTAGCCCTCAGCTGCAGAGAAGTGGGGGACCCTTTCCTGTGCCCTCCAACCTCCTTAGCTGTCTGGCACCCGTCCCCTCGTGAGCAAAAGGAAGGAACTGTGCTCTACCCAGGAAAGCAGCTGGGAGGAGGCGCCCTCTCCCAGGGCAGAACCCCAGCCCAGATTCAGATTGTGGCCCAACTCCCTGGTCCAGCATGAGGACCAAACCTCACAACTCCGCCCTGGCCCCACTCAGGGTCCCAATCCATGGCCAATCTGTGCCCAACCCACAGACCGGGAAGGCCTGGGTCAGAGCCAGTCCGAGACCCCAACTACAACCCCCTTGCAGCCATGCTGACAAGTGGATGAGGGCCAGAGGCAAAGGGGCATTCTTGCGCTCAGGTTCCAAGGCACTGCCCCACAGGCCACAAAGAGGGAGCAGGTGGAGAAATGATGTGGACATCTCAGAGGACCACAAGATCAGCGTGGGACTAGCATTCCCTGGGTAGACATGGAGGGGCGAGACTGCAGAGGGCAGAGCCTGCTGGGCGCTCCTGCCCTGTCCTGCCCCATTCTGGCAGTTGCATGTACACACAGAGAAGGAAGGCAGGGTCGGCAAGCAGCAACCTCTGGACTTGAAGACAAGTTTTTGGCCCCAAGTAAAGACTTCTGGCAAACACTACGGTTGTGTGAATTTGGGAAGGAGCCCTGCGAAGCCCCAGTGCGGATCGTTGAGAGGCTGTGCGGGGACGGCAGCCAGGGAGCCGGGGAGCTCATGTCAGGGACAGTTCCAGAGACCTGGGCAGACACGGAGCGCTGTTTCTCAGATTGGACGGCGTGGGGGGCAGCAGGGGCAGTGGGGTCCCTGGCTCTGGCAGGTGGCCCCCAGCGGTCTGAGGGTAGAGCTGGGAGGAAGCAGGGTCCCGGGCGGAGGGGTCTGCTGGCGTCTGCAGCGGGAGGAGGGCAGCGCGCGGGAAGCGCCCCCATCCCCCCACCGGCCCCTCAGCCTCCCTGTGTTCCCGCAGAGCATACACCTGAGCTTCCTTCGCACGGTGCCGCCTTACTCCCACCAGTCCAGTGTGTGGTTCGAGATGATGCGCGTCTACAGCTGGAACCACATCATCCTCCTGGTCAGCGACGACCACGAGGGCAGGGCCGCGCAGAAGCGCCTGGAGACGCTGCTGGAGGAGCGCGAGTCCAAGGTGAGGCCCGGGCCGCGGGCGGGAGGAGCCGAGGAGGAGCCGAGGAGCCGAGGAGCCGGAGGAGCCGGCGCGCTGCCTGCGCTGTGTCTGTGGCCCGTGTGTGCACACCCTTTCTTTCCATCGTGCATGGTCAGCACCACTACGTCTGGCGAGCGCCCGCCCCAGCCTGTTCTCGGCTCATTTCACTCGCTTTGCCATTAGTCGAAATCTCCTTCGTGTCAGTCCCTGCGGGGCGAGGGCAGGACCACCTGGAGCTCCGCAAACACCCCACCCCGCCCAGCGCAGCACCCTCCTCCTCACGGGGCTGCAAGGCCCGCCCCCGCCCCTCGCAGTGGCGCCCCCGTCCCCCCGCAGCGCCCCCAGCCCCAGCAGGCGGAGGCCCCAGCCAGACCCGGCGCGGCCCCGCCCCTCCTCCCGCCCCCAACCCTCCCCACAGCGGCCCCAGAGCCCCAGCGACCGTGCGTCGTGCCCCTCCCCCAAAGGACCCGGTACCCTCCCTCCCTGCATTCCACGACCTCACCTCCCCTGCCGCCCTCCCCCTCTCAGCTGCCCATTGTCCTACCCGAAGCTCATCCACAGACAGCTGCCACCCCCTCTCCTCTGCCTGGGCTCTGCCCCCTTCAGGCCTCCCGCTCCCCCAACCGAGCCCGGAGGCTGTCCCCTCCTCACCTCACTCCCACCATGGGGCTGGGCTCTGGGTTCCTCCAAGAGACCAGTTACCCTCCTGGCTCTAGATACACTGACCAACAGCCCCAGCCTGGCCCCCACTCTGTGGGGCCGCAGAGAGGGCAGAGTGGCCATTTCTGGGGGTCCAGGTGACCCCCACCCCCTTCCTTGCCCGCCCCCACTGCCAGCTTGAGGAAGCCCAGGGTCCCGCCTTCACCTAGCCCAGAGCCCTGAGAGCTCAAGCCCTGTGCCATGGCCCCTCAGTTAGGATGGAGGCCGAGCCGCAGAGAGGGGGGAGGCCTAGGCTGGGGCGGGCCCGGGGAGGCCAGACCAAGGGGGTGGTGGGAAGCATGTTCTGTCTGTGAAGTCAGAGCTGGCTTCAACCAACTTAGTGCCAACCCCAGGCCCCTCACAGGCCCCTGCAGGGAGTAGAGGGCACCGGCTGGGGTGGGTGAAGCCAGAGGGCAGACTCAGAGGTTCCTGGGGGGGGGGCCCTGCTGTGGGAGATTGGCTGAGTCTGAGAGGGAGGGCTGACCACCAGCGCCGTGGGCCCCACTCCTCCCAAGACAGCATCCCCCAGCGCCTGGCAGGCTGGTCACCTCCTGGCGGGCCCACCGGTAGCTGCACACACTCACACGCTTACTGGCCGTGTCCCTGCACACCCACCCACATGCGCCCATGCTCACAGGGACATGTGGTCATCTCACAGGGACATGTGGTCATTCCCAAGACAATCCGCTCACATTTCACATCTCCCACCACAGCCTGAGACCATACCTGGACACGCACACAGGTCCGTAGCCCACAGACACACTCACCCCACCAACTCACACACGCACCCACACGTGTGCCCGCACGCCTTCTCACACACACATACACACGAGTGCACAGATGGCACTGGCCCTCATTTCTCCACCAAAATCTTGTGTAGACTGACACTTTCACAGAGATGCCCGCAGATGGACACGACCCGTACGCATGCACGCACACACACACACACACAGAGTCCTATCACACTCGCTCGCCAGTGCACGCGTGGGCCAACGGCTGTGCACACACCCATCAGTGAGGACAGGCACCTGGGCCTCTGAGGGAGATAGAGGGGAGGAGGCCAGGAGGGGAGGGGCAGAGGGGACAGGGCATGAGGGAGGGGCTGCTCACCCCCATTCAGGACTGCCTGGGGTGGGGTGGGCACTGCTGGGACCACGCAGCAGGTGCATGGCAGGGGTGGGGGAGGCAGGTGGGACCCCAAAGGGACACAGACAGGGCCGCCCTTTCTCCCAAGTGTGACCTTTTCCAAGAGCACAGCTCCGTGGCTGGGAGCCCCGGTGGCCCCCGTGCCCCCTCGCCCCCAGCACTGCCCTGGCCCCCAGCCCGCCCGGGCCGCGGTGTTTGCGAGCTCCAGGTATGTGCCCGTCTGCAGACGTGCCGAGGAGGTGGTGTGGTTGCTTCAGCGCCGTCATTTTCAACCGTTTATAATCTTCTTCTGTGTCTGCATATTTTCTCTGTGCACATTATTCATCAGAGTAAAAAAAGGAACTATGAAAACCTCGACCAACTGTCCTATGACAACAAGCGCGGACCCAAGGTATATATGCATGGACGTGCACGCCACCCACCGACTAGGGAGCCCTGGCCTCCGGCGCCTCGGCCGCTAGGGCCGCTGTTGGCCCGGCTGTGCTGCGCCGCAGGCCTGAGCCTGGAGGAGAGTGAGGTCGTGAGGCAGGCAGCGGCAGGCAGGAGAGGGCAGGAGCGGGCCGCGTGGGTGCCCGCGGCCCGCCCACCGCGGCCTCAGCCTTGGCCTGCACCGAGAAGCAGGCACGGCCGGGCCGGCCGCAGGAGGAGCTGCTCTCCGGGAAGTGCATGCGAATCTCTGGGACCCCCAGGGTTTCCTCGCGGAACCCAGGAGGGAGCCCGCCTGCCCAGCTGCCCGCCTGCCCCTGTCGGTCCAGCCGCTCCTGCAGGGGCCTGCAGGGTCAGGCCTGAGAGGATCTCCCGTGGTTTTGGAAAAGTCGGCCCTATTTCTGCGCCCGGTTGCATTCCAAAACTCTTTTCTGTTTCCTGTCCGCTGCACGCATCCTTCTGAGTCTCGGCCCACTTCAGCTTGCATGCTCAGTGCAAAAGTGAGGACAGGAGAGAGATGGAGCGAGCGCAGGAGAGCGAGCAGGCTGAAGAAAGGACAGCAGGCGAGGCCAGGCCAGGCCAGGCAGGAGCCAGGCAAGCAGGTGCACAGTGCAGGTGGCAGGTGCAGGCCGCGGCGGCCCTAGCTAAGCTGCCTCTGGGCTCCTAGCAGCTGCAGCCCGACTCTCGCCCCTGAGGCGCTATGCCCCTGCCCCAGCCATCTGCTAACACTCCCGCTCACACCGCAGGCTGAGAAGGTGCTGCAGTTCGACCCGGGGACCAAGAATGTGACGGCCCTGCTGATGGAGGCGCGGGAGCTGGAGGCCCGGGTCATCATCCTCTCTGCCAGGTGAGGCTGGGCTGGGCCCCTCCCCCTACTTCACCCAGGCCTGCACCTGGGCCAGGGGCACTGTGGGGCTGACGCTGAGTTTCAGCTTCCAAAATGCCATGTCGAGGAGCGCCCCCACCCCCGCCACGTACACCTGGAGACCTGGCCGATGCAATACCCTCTACCTGTCCATCCTTCCTCCTTCTAGTCACCTGTGGCTGCTTGCTCTGAGATGGGAGATGGAGAAGTCCCTGCCCTCAGGAAGGCAAACATGGCCCAAAGGCAGAGATAGGACCCAGGACTCTGGGAGCCGGGCTCAGGGGAAAAGCCCAGGGAAGGGACATGTGGGTGTGCAGGTGAGCCCAGGAGAGAAAGCCACAGCGAAGAGAGGGGCAGAGTCCTAGGACGGCAGGATTGGAGCAGCTGGAGTGGACAGCAGGAGAAAGGAACCAGTTAGGGACCTGTGGAAACCAAGCAGCAGCCAGCCAGCGCCTGACCCCCACCTTGACCTTGGAAATGAGACCTCAGCAAAAGCCTCCCTTTCCGTAAATGGCTGAGTTCCCCTGGGAAGGGAAAGTCCAGGCCCCCGGACTAGGAAAAGGAAGAGCCCCATTCCATGGAATAGCCAGGAGGGCCCACATGGACACACTCCAGTCTGCCCGTTCCTAGAAGCGCCACTGGGCTCCAACAGAGTGGAGAAAGACAACAGGGGTCACCCTGCCCAGAGGAGCGTTCCCCAAATGCTGCTGTCCGGCAGACCACAAAGAGGAAGCAATACTCTGAGTTGCAGGGCAGGTGTCCGTTTGGACATTCCGTCAACAAACCCCTGACACAGACCCCGGTGGCCCACTTCCCAGGGCTGGGGAGGGTGGGGCCAACCAAGGCTCCTTGGGCTGGAAGGCAGGGAGCCCCTCGCCTACCAGAGCTGGGAGCTCATCCCCTTCTGCCCCTGTTTTACGGTGGCTGACCCGGGCTCACGCCAACCACTGACCCTGGGCACTGTGGGGAGGGCTCCAGGAGAAGGTTTAAGGACAGGTGCAGGCAAGGCCAGGGGTTGCCCCGTCCCTCCCAGGGCAAGCCCCATGGGAAAAGCCCCACCAGACCCTTCCATTTGATTTCCCAATTTGTTTTTGCTCCCCCTCATTCATCATGGGGCTTGAGAGAGGTTCAGTGGATATGGTGGGATCAAAGGGTGGGTGGACCAGTAGACAGACAGATGGGCAAACGGACAGTTAGCCAACAACCAGGACAGAGCAACTCTAGGAACTCATTCTGCCAAAACATAGATGTTCAACTGTGGGGCACCTTAACAAAGGATGAGGTCACATCAAACTAGACCCCCTCAGCCCTCACCTTATCACCAGAGTGGCCACCAGGACACTGGCCGGAAAGCCACAAGTAAAACCGACCCACAGAATCCCACCGTACCCAGGTCCCAGCAGAGGGGTGGGCACTTTCTCCAGTTTTTCTCTGGTCCGTGAGGTCGCACACCACACTCTGAAGCTCCCTGAGCATGGGCTGGGAGGGGCTTGCCCTTCGTGGCCAGCCCCCAGGCTCAAAGACAGGTTTGGCAGGTATGGCTCCAAAACAAAGGTCAGCCCAGGGCAGGCTATGTGGTCACATCTGACAGTTGCACACACACCATGCACACATGGAAACATGCACACTAACTATGTGTGCACCACATGCGAGAATGCACATGAGCACACACCACTGAACGCCACATGTACACACGTCATGCACATCACACACACACACGTGTGTGTACACACCCCCAAATAAACCTTGTGCACGTGCCCACAGGCACACAGCATATGCACACCACTCACACACACACACACCGCATGTGCACACACCATGTACACACCATGCACAACACATGCCAAGTGTGTACACACACGAACACACATTACACACGTACTATATAGACACACGCGTGTGCACATCCACACATGAGTACACACCATATACACACCACACACCGTGCACACATATATGTACACAAGATGTTCACACACACAGAGGCACAACACAACATACACCACACGCCACATGCACGCACCTACCCTCCACGTGCACAGACACTGCCAACAAAGGCAGAGCACTCATCAACCACACAACCACCAGCACCCCCCTTGGACCCACACGAGGCCCCTCCCTGGACCGTTAAGAGTGGAAGGTACCTCTCCCCTCACACCTGGGCTCCTGGGAGCAGAGACGCCCACGTGGCATGATGACGGGGCCCCCGGCCGCCCCGTACGCCCCGGTTCCCAGGAGCCAGGGAGGCAAGGGGGCGGCACACACAGGTCTTCCTACCCCGGTACTTCCACCTGACACACGGGTTCCTCCTGCCTGAGGGCCCTTGAGAGCATGTTGGGGACAGGCCTCATGAAGCCAGTCTCAATTTCTGAGCAACTTTCTATGGAGCGTCGAGAGGTCGTGTCTCCAATTTCCTTCTTGCCTTCCGAGATTGTCTTTTCTGGAGCCAATTACTTCCCTAAAACAGTCGGATGGGCTGATCAGGATTTTGCCTCCAACTTTTTACTGGTCCTAACGATTCGCATAGACACAAGCGTGGCGGTGCACTCGGCCCACTCAGCCAGACGTCCCGGAACTGAACCATGTCACGCAGACAGGCTTCTCTGCCAGCTTCACCAGGCAGCCTGTGCCCCTACAGGCGCGGCGCTGGCCCTGCCGGGCAGTCCTGGCTGGAGGCTCTGCTTTGGTCACGGGTGAGGTGCTGCCCGGGGCACCTCTCTGTGCATGGCTTACATCAGGCAGGAGCGTGTCGTGTAGAGCAAACACGGAAGGTCTACGTGTCCTCTCTGGCTAACCCGTGAGAAAACTGGGGGCAGGCCCCTTAGGGAGTCTAGAGCCACTTCAGTTTCCAGAGTCAGTCATTGTGAAAATAACCCAACACTCAGACAGTCCGTCCATCCCCTCTGGACCCCGCATTAGCCAAATGCCAGCTGTGGTCTCTGGCCATCTGTGGCCAGGTCCCAGCTGGTAGAGAAGGGAAGGTCAGAGCAGGGGGAGGACCCCCAGAGGCCCCCACAGCCCCACCAGGCCCAGGATCCTTGTCCTGACAAGGGGAGCCCTAGGGGACCAGGTGCACAGGGGCTCACCTGTAAGGATACCTCGAGAGCTCAGGATCACATGCGCCTCCAAGGCAAGGCCCTGCACTGCATCCTGCCACGGCCCCAGCCCTGGGCGGCAGGACATGCACAGCTGCTGGGCAGCAGCTCTCGGCACTCATCTCTCTCGAGCAGCTTTCGCTGCAACGCGGAGGGCAGTTCCCAGGCACTGGGTCCCACCAACATCTGACCAACCCGGAGCATCCCCCGCCCCTCAACTTGCATGTGTGGATGTGGAGAACCAGAGCATGTACGGCTTGTCCAGGAGGTCGAAGGGGCATGGGCTCTGGGGTGACTGTCCACACACAGACCCAACTCTGCCAATTACCATTACTTGTGTGCTTTGGGTGCCTTGGTTTCCCCTCCTGCCACAGGGATAGTACTGATGTCCGCTGCATAGGGATACCGTGATAATTAAATACAAGAGTCCGTGTAAAGCGCTCAGAGCAGTGCCTGGCACCTGGTGAGCAAGCGAGCAATCAACAATGATCCCTTACCATCTGGGGCACCCTGACCCTGCTCACCAAGGCAGAGGGCCGGCAAGAGAGCTGGAAGCTCTGGGGGTCTGGGCCCCATTACCCCATCCCTACCCTCCACCACCACCCCCCTCACCTCTGTTGCGGGGCGGGGGCGGTCACCTGGCCCAGGTGTGGGCTGGCGATGCAGGCTGGTACCGGGCCCTCTGCACCATCATTGGACCCAGGAAGGGCTGGGCCTGTCACCTCGGCAGTGTCCCCAGGCCTCTTTCCAGGCGAGGGCGGGCTGGGGGAGAGGCGGGGACAGGCCCAGACTCCAGAGGAGAACCCGTAGGTCCGGTGGGGAGGGGCTGGAGTCCTGGCTCGTCATCGCCCTCTGCCCCACAGCGAGGACGATGCTGCCACCGTGTACCGCGCAGCCGCGATGCTGAACATGACCGGCTCCGGGTACGTGTGGCTGGTGGGGGAGCGCGAGATCTCAGGGAACGCTCTGCGCTACGCCCCGGACGGTGAGTGCTGGGCCTCTCCGGGTCCCGGTGGGCCGGGGTTCCCCACGGGCTCTAAGCCCACCACACTCGCCCCAGGCATCATCGGATTGCAGCTCATCAATGGCAAGAACGAGTCAGCGCACATCAGCGACGCCGTGGGCGTCGTGGCCCAGGCTGTGCACGAACTCCTGGAGAAGGAGAACATCACCGACCCGCCCCGGGGCTGCGTGGGCAATACCAACATCTGGAAGACAGGGCCGCTCTTCAAGAGGTGGGCGGGCTCGCTTCTAGGGGTGGGCGGAGACTGTCTTCCAGAGGTGGGCGGGGCTCCCTTCTAGGGGTGGGCGGGGACTATCTTCCAGAGGTGGGCGAGTAGTATCTTCTAGAAGTGGGCAGGGTTCTCTTCTCCGAGTGGGCGGGGACTATCTTCCAGAGGTGGGCGAGTAGTATCTTCTAGAAGTGGGCAGGGTTCTCTTCTCCGAGTGGGCGGGGACTATCTTCCAGAGGTGGGCGGGCTCTCTTGTAGGGGTGGGCGGAGAGTATCTTCCAGAAGTGGGCGGGGCTTTCTTCTAGAGGTGGGCGAGGTTCTCTTCTACGGGTGGGCGGGGCCTCTCAGGAGATGGGCGTAGTTCTCTTCAGCAGGTGCAGATACAGTCATCTCCCCGACTTCCCTCCTCTTCCCCCACCTCTCTCTTACCACCACCACCTCCGTTTCCACTGTGCTAATCATCCACCTCATTTCCAACACCGACATTAACGCTTCAAATGTCAGTGAAGTCATGGCTGCCTCCACTGCTCCTGACCCCACCTTTTAACACTGCAGCCAACCCTGAGACCCACCCCACCTACACAGGGTGGCTGACAACCCTTGGGAGGAGGCTCCTGCCGCATTTGGGGACAGGGGGTTTCCAGGGACCCAGCAGATCAGACAAAGGAGACCCCAAGGATGGAAACCAAGCCTGTAGAGAGCCAGGATTGGCCAGATGCCCAAGTGGATGGCCACAAGGGGGCAGGAGATAAGTCACAGCACCCCGGATGCTATACCACTCAGCCCATCACCAGATCCACCCCACCCCACTAAATAGCAAACACTGAGTAGCATGTGCAGAACAGTTATGGTGCCCACAACAGGGGTACACACGCAACTGCAGATCTATGCAGCACGTGTGCACAGACTCAGAGAGGCGTGTGGCACACACACACGCGTGCCACAAGCACGTGCATAGGGGTGCATCCACACAAAGATCACGTGTGTCACATATGTGGCCCCGTGTGCACACAAGACAGGACCTCAACCCCACCTCCCCCACTTGCTGGTGAACAGGCTACTGCATCCTACCTGGACTTACTCCTCCTCGTTTGGGAAGCAAGGATGGCTGCTGGGAGGGACTGTCCCAACCCACAGAAAGCCCTCGAATAGGGTCTGGTGCTCAGGAGTTACTGGGCTACCATAGCTGTGTCGTCCATCTGGTGCTGGCAGACCGGCACACCATCCACCAGATGCCCAGCACGAGGGTCTGACATCTGCTGATCTTTCCTTCTTGGGATTGAGGCAGAAAAAGGGGCTTGGGTTCAAAAGGCCAGAGAGAGGGAGCGTCTCTGATAAGTCTGCCCACAATGCCTTCTCCAGAGTGCTGATGTCTTCCAAGTATGCAGACGGGGTGACAGGCCGCGTGGAGTTCAATGAGGATGGGGATCGGAAGTTTGCTAACTACAGCATCATGAACCTGCAAAACCGCAAGCTGGTGCAAGTGGGCATCTACAACGGCACCCATGTAGGTGGGGGTCATGAGGGGGTGGGGGCTGGGGCCTTAGGGTCCTGGGGCCAAGACCCCTGCGTGGCCACCCTCCATCTCATACTCCCACCCCCAGGTCATCCCCAATGACAGGAAGATCATCTGGCCAGGTGGAGAGACAGAGAAGCCCCGAGGGTACCAGATGTCCACCAGGCTGAAGGTAGGGATCCTGCCCCCCTGTGCCAGCGTCCACACCCCCGATGCTCCATCCAGCTCCTTGGGCCTGGGGGGGCGGGGGACAGTGAGGCCAATGAAAGTGACTGAAGGAAGTGGGGAATGACTGGCACCTGGCTGCTGTAGGCCACACTTGGCACCACAGAGGAAGCAGGGAGAGCAGGTGGAGGGATGAGAGGAAGCTGCTGGCCCCCCATCCCATGGGCTCTCTCCAGTGCCTCTCCTGATCCAACTCCACTTAAGTCTAGAGAAGCCGTGTGGGACAGGACTCTTCTGGGGATGAGCTGATAGGGGACAGAGGGACCACTAGCTAGTTATTCTGGGGACCTCAGCTGCAGCACTCTCCATCCTGAGTTCGGGTTCTTGAGATGCCACTTCCACACTCATCACTCCTTTGGCGAGTCCTAACCACCCCCACCCCCAGTCTTCACAGCCTCCTGCTGTGACTGAGTCACACTGCCCTTCTGGCCCTGTCCCCCGCCACCGGGGCATTCCCCATAGCAGGCTGTTCCCTCCTTGGCTCTCTCCCCGGGCCTCTGGGAGCCCCTCCTTTGCTGGCCTTTCCCCTCGAAACTTCCCTTCCTTGCTCCTTTGGGCTCATCCCTCCTTCACAGTCATCATCGTTCACAACAAGTAGAGTGGGCTTTTCCAAAGCAGTTCGATACCTTGTATTTAAAAGTCTGAAAGTAGGAGCCCAAACACTGATGGCCAGATGGTCCCATTCAGGCTGCCAGATTGCAGATGGCTTTGTACAAGGTTTTTTGGTCTCGCCGATTTTTTAAAGGCACAAACATATATTGCTTGTATAATAGAAAAACATTTTTTTTTAAAGAAAACATGATGAAAGTTTAAAAAGCAATAAGCTCCTTCAGGTGCTCCCAATCCCCCAGGGGGGAAAAGTCAAAATGCTGCCCTTGCAGCTGAGACTCTGGCCAACCCACCCTGCAGACCCACCCTCCCCAGTGTGCCAGACGGTCCCTCTCAAACTGATCCCTGCCTACTCTGCATGCCCAATTCCAACATCACCTCCTCTGGGGCCCCTCATCAGTATGTTGCATTTGGTTCAGCTCCCCATGTCCCATACGTGTCCTCCTCACCCCCAGCCTCTGGGCCCGTGAAAGACAGGGAGAAGAGAGAACCCCAGCATAAGCCTCAAGGGGGCCTTGGGTTGAGAGGCAAGCTATGGGAGAGAGGACAGCAACCACAGAGGAAACAGGAAGGGAGCAAAGCTAGGTGGTCAAATACGCACTGCTGAGGAGGCTGAGGGCCAGGAGAGGCCAGGTGATCAGATAAGGGTGATCCCGTGGGTTCCAGGTCCTGTGCAGACTCGGGGCGGATGCCAGACATGGCCCTGTCCTCATGGTAGGCAGTGGGGGGCAGGATGCATGCTCTGCGCTGGGACAGGGAGTTTTTCATCCCTGAGAAATCAGAGAAGGTGTGGGGCAGACTGGACATTCCAGCAGGCTCTGATGGAGGGAGTGATGCATAAGCCAATACCCCAAAGACAAGTGGCCAAGAGGAGGGGACAGTGTTTCAGGAGGCCATGAGCCTTCTGAATGCTGAGTAGCCTGGGGACCCTCTAGGGGACAACAGGCAGATGTTGCTGAGAGTGGCCAGGGAAGATGTGGAGCTGAGCACAGAGGGGCAGCGGCTGGAGGTGGGGGGATGTCAGGGATTTGGAGGGCATCCGGGGGAGTCTGGGGGCTTAGGGTGAGTGGCCCAAGCTGGGTCTTCTCCCTCCCCCTCCCCCGCAGATTGTGACCATCCACCAGGAGCCTTTCGTGTACGTCAAGCCCACGCTGAGCGATGGCACATGCAAGGAGGAGTTCACCGTCAATGGGGACCCGGTCAAGAAAGTGATCTGCACTGGACCCAACGACACGTCGCCGGGCAGCCGTGAGCGCGGGGCTGGGGCGCGGGGCGGGGCGGGGCGGAGGGGCTGGGAGCTCGGCGGTGATGGCCCCTGTCGTGTCCCTAGCTCGCCACACAGTGCCTCAGTGCTGCTACGGCTTCTGCATCGATCTGCTCATCAAGCTGGCGCGCACCATGAACTTCACCTACGAGGTGCACCTGGTGGCTGACGGCAAGTTCGGCACTCAAGAGCGGGTACGCGTGGATTGCTGGGTGCCACGAGGGACGGGTCCGGGTGGAAGCAGTCTGGTTAAGGACAAGGCCGGGGCGGGCGGGGCCGACGCACTGGGCTGGGGTCTGGAGTGGGCGGGCCCAAGAGCTGAGCCAGGGCAGGAGCCCGTCGCTGGAGTGGGGCTGGCGTCGTCCGCGCGCCCACCAGCTGCATCGCCCCACAGGTGAACAACAGCAATAAGAAGGAGTGGAACGGGATGATGGGCGAGCTGCTCAGCGGGCAGGCGGACATGATCGTGGCGCCGCTGACCATCAACAACGAACGCGCGCAGTACATCGAGTTCTCCAAGCCCTTCAAGTACCAGGGCCTGACCATTCTGGTCAAGAAGGTGGGCAGGGCCCAGCGCGGCTGGGGTGGGGTCCTAGGTGAGTCCAGGGGGCGCTGACAACCTGTGCACCTGCAGGAGATCCCCCGTAGCACGCTGGACTCGTTCATGCAGCCCTTCCAGAGCACGCTGTGGCTGCTGGTGGGGTTGTCGGTGCACGTGGTGGCCGTGATGCTGTACCTGCTGGACCGCTTCAGGTGAGCGCGGCCCGGGGGCCGGACACCTCCCTCTGCGGGGGCGGGCGGGGCCGGGCGAGAGGGCGGGGCGGGGCTGCCCCTCCCGCCCTCTCCCGCCCGCCCTCTGCGCCCCGCAGCCCCTTCGGCCGGTTCAAAGTGAACAGTGAAGAGGAGGAGGAAGACGCGCTGACCCTGTCTTCAGCCATGTGGTTCTCCTGGGGCGTCCTGCTCAACTCGGGTATCGGGGAAGGTGAGGCCGCGCCCGGCCGCATCCCGCTCCGCCCCTTCCCGCCTGCCCGGAGCTGACCTTCCTCTGCCCGCAGGCGCCCCCCGAAGCTTCTCAGCGCGCATCCTGGGCATGGTGTGGGCCGGCTTCGCCATGATCATCGTGGCCTCCTATACCGCCAACCTGGCGGCCTTCCTGGTGCTGGACCGGCCGGAGGAGCGCATCACGGGCATCAACGACCCACGGGTGAGGCCTGGCCGGCTGGGGGCGAGGAGCGTGAGGTCAGCGGAACTCTGCCTGGGGTGGGCCCCGGGAGCAGCCGCGAGCCCTGCCCTCTGACCCTGCAGCTGAGGAATCCCTCGGACAAGTTCATCTACGCGACGGTGAAGCAGAGCTCGGTGGACATCTACTTCCGGCGGCAGGTGGAGCTGAGCACCATGTACCGACACATGGAGAAGCACAACTACGAGAGCGCCGCCGAGGCCATCCAGGCCGTGCGGGACAAGTGAGGGGGAGGGGCGGGCGGGACCGGTGAGGGGGAGGGGCGGGCGGGACCGGTGAGGGGCAGGGGCGGGCGGGACGAGTTGTGGGGGGACAGGCAGGGAGGGGCATCCACCCCTACAGGAAAAGTGAGTGTGTCCAGGCTGGATGGGAACCCCGGGATAGAAACAGAGGTAAGGTTTCCAGGGGGGCAGGAGGTGGAGACTGCGAGCAGCCTGGTTGTGCAGGGCGCCTGTGACCCCTGCCCCTGCCCACAGCAAGCTTCACGCCTTCATCTGGGACTCGGCAGTGCTGGAGTTCGAGGCCTCGCAGAAGTGCGACCTAGTGACCACTGGCGAGCTGTTCTTCCGCTCGGGCTTTGGCATCGGCATGCGCAAGGACAGCCCCTGGAAGCAGAACGTCTCCCTGTCCATCCTCAAGTGAGTCGGCCTCACCCGCTGCCTGCTGCCCTTCATCCTTCTCCAAGAGGCTCCCACCAGAGGCCAACCCCTCCCCAGAGCCAGACCCTACCCCTAGGCACACAGACCCCGCCACCCCAGCGGGGGCCCCACCCCGGTGCCCCGCCCACTCCAGGACGCTCCCTCCCAGGTCCCATGAGAATGGCTTCATGGAAGATCTGGACAAGACATGGGTGCGGTACCAGGAGTGTGACTCTCGCAGCAACGCCCCTGCTACCCTCACCTTTGAGAACATGGCAGGTAGGCCGCCCCGTTTCCCTCAACGCCCCTGCTGACACTGGTGGGGTCCTCCAAGGGGCCTGCAGACTGGCCAGCCCACAGCTGAGGTGCTGGGTCCTGGCCCACAGGGGTCTTCATGCTGGTGGCTGGGGGCATCGTGGCCGGGATCTTCCTGATCTTCATTGAGATAGCCTACAAGCGACACAAGGACGCTCGCCGGAAGCAGATGCAGCTAGCGTTCGCAGCCGTGAACGTGTGGAGAAAGAACCTGCAGGTAGGACAGGCCAGCCTCCGAGGCCTGGTGCCCATGGCCCGGCCTGGCCCCGGCCCTCCTCCATTCCCGCAGGCCGAAGCACCGGCTCAGGCTCCCAGGAGCCCATGCGGGCAGGACTGGAGCTAGGAGCCCCAACCAGGGGCAGCATTGCCGGGGGGGGCCACCTGCAGGTGGCTGCCCCCTGCAAAGCCCGGCTCCAAGCCTCTGCCTGGCCCCTCTGTCTCCAGAGTCGCCCGCCGGCGCCCATTCCATAGGAAGGCAAACTGAGGCAGGGTAAGACAGGGACCCACCTGGGTGTAGCACGTGAGTCCAAGACATATTCTGCCCTCGCCGCCCCATGCCTCTCCTCGGCATCCGCCAGGAACCCCCTTCCCTGCTGCCCTGCTCTGTCCTCTGCTCCATAACTCCACCTTGAATTGGGCCAGCTGGCCCTGCCTGGCACCCAAGGCTGTGTCTGTGGGAACTCACTGCCAGCAGGAAACAGGCTGCCCACCTGGGATAGGGCAGGCAGTGGGGCCTGTGCAGGCCCGTGGGCTCATGCCCCACGGCCCAGTTCTGGCTTCCTTCATCTCTTCTCTTTCTCTGGGCGAGGCGCCTCCCCAGAGCCTGGGTCTGGGGAAGAAGTTGGTGTCCAGAGAGGGAGGGCCACGGGGGGATGGGTTGCTGGAGCCCCCATACCTCTCATCTGCCGACTCTTGTTCTCGGGACCTGGTCACTGCTCTCACTGGCTGGCACAGGGCCATTCTGGCCATCAGACCCCAGGCCAGGGTCTGGAAGCCACCTCCATCTATCTCTCCAATTCATCTTGCCGCCTGCCTTTGGCCCCTCAGCCCCTTCCTGAATCTTGGCGTCCCGTCGGGACAGAATGGCTGGCAGGGCCCGAGGGGCAACTCCTCCAGGGCTTGGGGGACCCTCCTCCTTGGGACACCTGTAATCCAGGGTCACCCAGGAGCCAGGGAGCCAGACTGACCTCCCAGGAAGAGAGCCAGACGGGACCCCCATGCCCCAAGCCCAGCCCCAGCACAAGCAAGGTCAGGCCCAAGACCGGGCAGGAGCAGGGGCTGCTTGCACACGTCCAGCTGCTGGTCCGTCTGTCCAGCACAGCGAGGCAGGCAGGAGCGAGGGCCTGAGTGGCCGGCCAGGCTGGGCAGCAGCCCCCGAGGAGCAGGCGAGGGCAGGTGTGGCCGCCGCCCTTAGCTGTCTAATCACTTATACATATTCATTTTAGGATAGAAAGAGTGGTAGAGCAGAGCCCGACCCTAAAAAGAAAGCCACATTTAGGGCTATCACCTCCACCTTGGCTTCCAGCTTCAAGAGACGTAGGTCCTCCAAAGACACGGTAAGGGGAAGAACGCCCAGTCCCACGTCTCCGACTCTTATCTCGCCCCGCCCCCCCCGTGTCTGTGTCCCGTGCCTCAGGCGTGCCCTCCCCCCTCCCCCACCATCCCATCCACCCCACCTCTGACCGCTGTGGCCCTGCCGCCTTCCTCTCTATTTGCCCAGCACATGAGGTCTTCACTCTCCAGACCTTTCTTGGTCCTTTCTCGCACTGGCCCTCACTGGGTCCTCTTTCCCCATGTGTCTCTGCGTTGGTCTGCCCCCCATGCCATGACGCCATGCGCCATCTTGAAGCTGTGTCATGTCGTTGGTCAGCCAGTCAGCCTCTGAGCCCAGGGCCCCTGGGAGCCCAGAGCCAACCTGTCCTGGACTCCTCACCTGTGGGAGGCCACGCCACCTCTCTGTCACATCCGTTTCTCCAGCCTCTCCCAGAGGAGCCCACTGCCCTCTCTCCCCCCTCGCGACATCCGTGGGGGGTGGCTGTGGTGTCCCATCCGCCCATCTGTCTGGCCGCCAGCCCCGCCACCCAGACACCTGTGTCACGTGTCTCACCAGAGCCATGCCTGTTGCATCCCCTCCATGTGGTCTCTGTGTGGGCCGGGGCTGGGGGCCGGGCCTGGCTCCATCTGGGTGGACGGCTGGGGCCTGGAACTGGGACAGGCCCCCAGCCACAGGGGACCGCCAGGCGGGGACTGGGTGGCACCAGAGGGGTGGAGCCCACCCCAGGCAGAGCCGGAGTCACTGAGGCTCCCAGACAGAGGCCCAGGAAGGAGAGGCCTCGCGGGAGGAGGGCAGCTCCTCGGCTCCTGACCCTCTAGCCCTTCCCCACAAGGCGTCAGAGCAGGGCCTCCTACCCTGGACAGCTTGTCACCACACCAGATGTGCACACTTGGAATCAAAGCCCTTCAAATGGACCCAGGCTTGCTAGGGGCACCCCGGTCCAAGGTGGGGAGGGGGCAGCCCAGAGTTAGCACTGTCCTTGGCCTCCCTGCCGTCCAGGGGCCAGCTTGGCCTCCATCCTGCAGGGGCTTATGCTCCAAGGTGGAAACAGGAATTTGCACACACACACACACACACACACACAGTGCACTGGAAAGGAGGCAGATCTCCAGGACACGGACAGGGCTTGGCACAGAATGATGCGAGGCCAGGGTGAAGCCATCAGGGTGCCCCCAGAGGGGCCCACGTGGCCTGGCTGCTCTGCTTCCCAGGAGGGGCTTGGCACTGGGAGGGTAGGTGAAGAGTGAGGGATTGGGAGCTGCGAGCACAGGCCGGGGCTTCACAGGCCCGAGAAAGTGGGATGAGCCAGGGGCCCTGCCAAGGGGTTCAGGAAGAGATCCAAGACCAGAGAGGAGAGGAGGTGGGGAAGGCCTGGGGAGAGGTTATCCTCGTAGACAGCACTTTTAGGGAGGAGCACAAAAGTTACACAGGTGATAGGCTGCTTTGTGAGGGCGTCCTTGATTCCTCCCCCCCAACAACACCCCTACCCAAAGAAAAGCTCCTTAGCTGGTCCAGGTGCAGCTCAGAGACCTTCGAGGTGCCTTTCTGGGGACACAATCCCAATAGACTCTTTACCCGAGCCTCTGTGGGCACCAGGGACCATCTCCCAGGGCAGCCCTGACAGCATGTGGCATCTGGGGCTGGCCCTGCCCTGAGGGGTGACTGGGGTGCTGCCAGCTGGAGGGTCCGGGCGGGGGAGGGCAGCCTAGTTCCCATCCTGTTTCAGGCTGGGCGCCTGCTTGGAGGGAGGCCTGGGTGGGGGGCTCTGTTGGGAGGGGTGGGGTCGATCCGGCTGCTAAGATCCTCTGCCCCTGTCCTGTGGCCGGTCTGGGCCAGGGCAGCACTGGGCGCTCAGGGCTGGGGTCCCTGGCAGCCAGCGGGGCCAGCGGGTATTGATTGTTGGTTCTTATTTATAGAGCACCGGGGGTGGACGCGGCGCTTTGCAAAACCAAAAAGACACAGTGCTGCCGCGACGCGCTATTGAGAGGGAGGAGGGCCAGCTGCAGATGTGTGCCCGTCATAGGGAGAGCTGAGACGCCCTGCCCGCCCTCCTCTGCCCCCCTCCCCCGCAGACAGACAGACAGATGGACGGGACAGCGGCCCGGCCCACGCAGAGTCCCGGAGCACGACGGGGTCAGGGGGAGGAGCGCCCCCCCAGCCTCCCCCAGGCCGCGCCCGCCCGCCCGCCGGTCGGCCGGCTGGCCGGTCCACCCGTCCCGGCCCTGCGCGTGCCCCCGAGCGTGGGGGCTAACGGGCTGCCTTGTCTGTGTATTTCTATTTTGCAGCAGTACCATCCCACTGATATCACGGGCACGCTCAACCTCTCAGATCCCTCGGTCAGCACCGTGGTGTGAGGCCCCCGGAGGCGCCCACCTGCCCAGTTAGCCCGGCCAAGGACACTGATGGGTCCTGCTGCTCGGGAAGGCCTGAGGGAAGCCCACCCGCCCAAGACTGCCCACCCTGGGCCTCCCGTCTGTCTGTCTGCCCTGCTGCCGGGCGGGCAGCCCCTGCTGGACCGAGGCTCGGACCAGAGCGGCTGAGGACAGGCCAGAGCTGAGCTGGCTGGGCAGGGCCACAGGGCACTCCGGCAGAGGCAGGGCCCTGGGGTCTCTAAGCAGTGGGGGAGAGGGGCTAACCTGGCCCTGGAGGGGTTTGGAGCAGAGACTGAAGCCCCAGCCTTCCCCGGCCACTACCAGAGCCACAGTGGGGGTGCGAGGCCCAACTGGCTGGGCCACCCCCTCCTCCAGCGCCTGCTCTTGGCTTGGCAGCCTCGGCTCCACCCCTCTCCTCCTCTTACCCTCGTCCCTTCTCGGCCTGACCCCCCCTCCATCCAGCTGGCCCTGCCCCTCCCCAAAGGCAGACTCTGACCCTCAGCGGACAGCTGCCTCCTGGGAGCGCGCTGGGGTTCTCCGCCGCCTCTGACCCTTTCCTCCGGTCTCCGCGAGGGCTGAGCCAGCCGTTTGGCTCCTCCAGCCTGCAGCCCAAGATAGGCTTCCCCCCACGCGCTGGCTCCGGACTGTCCTCAGCCCTGCCCGCCAACTTGTACAGGCCCAGCCCTTCCAGCGTCGAGCGCGTGCCTTCCCCGTGCGGCCCGTGCGCAGCCGCGCGCTGCCCCTCCGCCCAGGGGCCCGGCGCGCGCTGCCCCGACCCGGTTTGTGCAGTGGTGATGTCTAAAGGAATGTCACGAAAATTTCTGTCTGTGTTGCTTGTTGACGCGTGCGGGGACTGTGAAGAAGGGCAGGGGACAGGGGAAGATTCGAGAACAGCCAAGGCCCGCTCAGGCCTGAGCAGAGGCGGCGGGGCTCCCAGGGCCAGGGTCCCGCGGTCTCCTCAGGCGGCTGAGGGCAGTGGCGCGGCAGCGCCGCGTGCGGCAGGCGGTGAGCACGGAGCCCAGCGCCAGGCAGGCGGCCAGGCTGGCGAGGAACGAGACGGGCCCGAGCACGTAGACCACCGCCAGGTCCCGCGGAGTGAGTGGCTGCGGGCAGTGGCTGAAGGCGGCGTCCGGGAAGGCGGTCAAGGGGCTGAGCGTCTGGCGCCCTGGCAACACGCAGAGCAGCGTCTCGGCCTCTGCGGGACACAGGTGCAGAGTCAAGCGGCGGCGGCGACGGTGTCCGTGGGTCCCGGCCCGCCCACCCTCGCCCGGAGGGCTCACCTGGCGCCGGCCTCGGGTGCCTGCGCAGCCAGGAGCGGAGCGGACGCAGCGCGCAGCCGCAGGTCCAGGGGTTGCCGCGCAGGTGCAGCGCGTGGAGAGCCGGCAGGCGGGCCAGGAGGCCGGGCGCGAGCGCGGACAGCTCGTTGTCCTGCAGGCTGAGCGCGTGCAGCAGCGGGAGCGCGCCCAGCGCCGCGGGCTCCAGGCGCGCCAGCCGATTGCCTGCCAGCGAGAGGGAGCGGAGCGCGCGCAGGGGCGAGAAGGTGCCGGGCGCCAGAGCCTCCAGCTGGTTGTTGCTGAGGTCGAGCCGCTGCAGCGCGCCCAAGCTCCAGAAGGCCCGCGCGTGCACCCAGCGCAGCCCGTTCTCGCGCAGGTCCAGGCGCAGCAGCGTGCCAGCGCCCACGAAGGCCCCGGGCGGCAGCGCGCGCACACGGTTGTGGTCCAATAGCAGCGCGCGCACGCGCCGGCTCAGGTCCGCGGGCACGGCGGGCAGAGCGCGCCCCGAGCAGTTGGCCAGGCCGCCCGAGGCGCACTCGCACGCCTTGGGGCAGTCCGGGGTGCCTGGGGTTCCTGAGAAGGTGGCCACGGTGGACGACTGGGCCCAGACTGGCCACGGCGACAGCAGCAGGAGTAACATCGGCGGCGGCCGCCGCGAGAGAAAGGAGGGGCTCCTCATGGAGCAGCGCTAGGAGCCCGCTGCTCGTGCGTCCACGGAGCCAGTGCGTCTGTCTCTGCCGCGCCTGCACAAATAGTAAATCTCCGGCCCGAGTGCCGGCAGTTCCTGTTCCATGGCCAGTCCCGCACCTAGGGCGGGGGCTGGGGCAGACAGCCAGCGTCCTGCACTGCCAGCCACCTGTCCCAGAGCTGGGCTGCTCTTGGCTCTGGGCCAGCTGCGGCGCTGACAAGACGCCTCGCCCCTCCTCCCGAGGTGTCCACCACCCTGCGCCCCGCGGAGGCCTGAGCGCTGGACAACACCCACACTCACCAAACTCATCGATGCCACGCATGGAATGGGACTCCGTGAGCCCTGCTGCTCTCCCCAGTCTCTGCCCATCTCCTGCCCAGCAAAGTGACCCCAGCACTCACACAGTGCCCCCCCCCCCACATAGGGATGGTCCCATCCCCATAGTGGATGATCAGTGGGGTCAGGAGCACATGATGGGGGCCTGAGCCCAGGGGGTAGGCTGGAGGGTGGAGGGGGTACGAGACAGGGGGACAGTCATGTCTGCCCCACCTGGCCCTGTAAGGACCGTCCTAGAACCTCAAGGAGACAGTGTGGGTAGGGCAGAGGCACCAGCCCAAGTTCTCCTGTCAAACACTGCTCCCTCTGGAGTCATCAGAGTCGCACATCCTGTTCTGGGGTTTCCCGGGGTGGGGGTGGGGGGACAGGGGCCCCGCGCCCCCGCCAACTTCACAGAACACAGCAGCAGGAAGATGAGGGGAGGGGCTAGGCTGAGGCCACGGCAAGAGGAGGTGGAAGTACCAGGGCTGTGCCTCCCTGCCCTGGAGGGTGGACAGTGGGTGCCTTCTCCTCCCACCCAAGATCCAGGAGGTGACCTAGGTGCACACAAACCCCTCCCCACCCCATGGCACAGCTGCACCGGGGCTCGAGGATGAGTCTGCAGGGAGGACAGGGCAGAAGCACTGAATACTGTTTAATTCCCCTCCCCCAGGCTGCCTGCAGCCCTACTCAGGTTAGGGGGGTGAGAGGGAGCTGCTCCTCCACAGTCATGTTTGGGGCCATCGGGTCCATGGGAATGGCCATGAGGCCTTGTTCGTCCAGGGGCGGCAGCATGGAGTCCAGGTCGGGGTCCATGACATGGGACTCCACTTGCACAGAGTGCAGGTCCATGTGATCTTCCTGGACTCCGTAGTGCCCCACCAACCTGCACGACAGGGGCCGGGTCAGGCTGGCTGCAGGCAGCCACCAGCACAGGCCTCGCAAGGCCTTGGCCCCCCTCCCAGGGTGGGCCCGGGCCTCCAGTCAGTGCTCGTGACCCATCTGTGACCCCCCTGTACCTCCCAGGGACAGGAAGCTGGGGCACGGCTCACCTGTGGGCCTCCCCTGAGGTTACTCACCTGCTGCTCGTGTGTCTGGGGCATGGCTCACTGGAGGGACAAGGGGAGATGTGAATCCTGGAACAATGGAGCCCAGACATGCCCCGAGCCCCCCGCCTCTCCACAGCCCAGCCTGGGAAATGGCATCCCGGTTCCTGGTGACCCCCACCATCCCCCAGCATGGCCCTGCGGCCCTCAGCCACCCTCCCAGCCCCGGGCTCATGCACCTCTTGGCTCTCATGACACCGACTGCCACGATGACCAGGCTGCAGAGGCAACTGGCGCCTATGCCTGCCAGCACCACGAGCAGGGCAATGAGGGCCTCGCGGCTGAGGCCGAGGCTGCACTCGCAGTATGTCCCAGCTGCAGAGACAGGGCCCGTGCGGCCGAGGGGCCCTCGTCACCGGCCAGCGGAGGACCCCCAGGGCCGCCCCTCACCCTGCCGGCCACCAGAAGGGTACGGGGAAGGGCGGGGCTCGGGGGCAGGAGGAGGCACCTGCAGCAGGGATGAGCAAAAGGGACAAACATAGGAGGCCAAGGGGGCTGCCGACCAGGCAGGAGTCAGGCTGGGGACAGGGGGCCATGTCCAGCCCCCAACCCCACCACACACCTCCGGACGGAACCCATCAGAAGGCGCTGACCTCACAGTAGGGCCCTGAAGCAGAGCGGGTGGGGGCAGGGCTTCAGCTTGAGCTTCACTTGAGCTCGGTGCCCAAGTGGAGGAGCCCTGGGCAGGCAGCCCTGGGGTGGGGCAGGTAGGGTGGAGAGGGGCCTGAGAGCCACTTCTGAGTGCCCTACCAGACCCAAGGCCAAGGCAAGGATGGGGCTGCCCTGGCCTGGGCGGGGGGGGGGGGGGGGGGGGCGGTGCTTCGCGGGTAAAGGGGTGGAGTCCACACCTAGGCCCCCGGGAAGGTGGAGACAGTGGCCTGGAAACCCTGGGGGGCCCAGAGTATGCAGCACAGGCCCTGGTTCCTCTCTCAGGATCCCCGGAGGCTGGGACAAGCAGGGGCCAAGGGGTGGGCAAGGCGTGGACCTGTGCTCACTGCCCTCCCTCACGCTGGCTGTCCTGGGGAGGGTCCCGCCCACACCCACGCCCCAGCAATGCTCAGGTCCGGAGGAACCTGCAGGGGTCCTTCAACCTCCCAGGAGAGATGGGGGGCACTGCCCACAGGTCTCCCCAGCACCACATCCTCTGGGTGCACCTGGCTCAGAAGCAGCTGCAGGTAGCACCTGAGGCTCCAGCTTAAGTGTCCTTCAAGTTGGAGCCCAGCTGACCCTCTGAGGGCTGCTTCCTGGTGCATCTTCCTGCCACCTGACAAGTGCTGCCTGAGGGACTCACCTGCAGGATGGCATCTTTAGAGTTAACCTCAGCCTCCTCCCTGGTCTCCTGCACTGTCTCTCCACCCTGAGGCCTCCTCCCTCCTCCCCTAAGGATCTGGCCAAGCAAACCACCCAGGCAGCAGGAGGAATTGCCCCACCCCACAGCTGACCCCACAGGGCGCCAGGGGCAAGGGTGCAGAGGGGCCCCAGCTGACCCCTGCTCGCTGGGGACCTCCCTGACTCCAGACACAGGTGGTCCCTCCTAGGGGAGCCCTCAGGGACCAGCCAGCGGTTTCTGGCCTGATGAGTAATGCTGTGACCCAAGACACAGCTTTTTTACCACATTCATCCACAAACCAAGTCAAAAGGGACAGGAAGCAGGAGTGCCGTGCCCAAAAGCGGACACAGCTCCCTGCCAGGCCGGTCTAGCAGGTTTGCACCCTGGTTAGGATGACAAAGGTACACTCAGCCCAGTGCCAGGTGGCCTTCCGCCTGGAGGGCATGTGGGCTGCCAGAGTCTCCTCCTGGGCCCCCACCAGAACCTGGAGGAAAGTGGGAGGCCCCTCTTCTAGTGACCACGGCTCAGCAGCCTTGGTGGTGGGCAGAGTGCAGGAGAGGGAGATGTCAGCTGCTACGACTACACACCTGGTTCCCACCACATTGCCCTCCAAATCTGTGGCAAACAGAACACTCTGGGGTGAGAAGGGGAAGTCCCAGAACAGCGCTGACTGCAGGGCCCTGTGCAACAGGCCAAAGTGGAGAAGTGGGGGTAGGCACTGGAAGACAGCCAGCAGGGGGGGGGGGGCACCCAAGAGTGTGTAGAGGCAACAGGCATGGCTCCAGGCCTGGGAAGACACCCTAGGCAGGTGGCAGCA